TAGTTTTCTAGACTATCAGCGCCTCACTGATATCTGCTGTCCAATGCCTTGGGACATCCTCCTGATGTGAAAGGCGTTATGGAAATGTAGGGAGGGGTTAGTTTGTTTGCTAGGGAGGAACCTACATTACCTCGCCCTGAAAATGTCACATGCATTTAAGCTTCTGAGCAGGAATAGAAATAGAACTATTTGACAACAGGCACAGTAGTTGGTTATATGGTTCAGTTTGACATGCATACCTTTTAAATAATAAAATGATCCTTATGTTGGATACAGCACCTTTCAAGTCGGGAGGGTGTCTTAAAGCGCTTCGCATGATTTTACTGTAAAATGTAGTGAACATGTGTTCATTCAGAACTCTGCAGCTCGTGTACTGTCCCGCACCAGGCTTCGCGACCACATCACTCCCACCCTCGCTCGCCTCCACTGGCTCCCCATCCCCCAGAGGATTGATTTCAAGATCCTCATCCTCACCTACAAGGCCATTCACGGCCTTGCTCCCTCCTACCTCTCCAACCTACTATCCCCCTACCTACCTGCCCGTACCCTCCGTTCCTCTGGCTCTGGTCTGCTCCACGTCCCCCGCCCCAACCGCCCTACCATCGGTGGTCGGGCCTTCAGCCTCTCAGCCCCCAGGCTCTGGAACTCCATCCCCCAGTGCCTTCGCCTTGCTTCCTCCCTTTCCTCCTTCAAGGCCGGTCTCAAAACCTTTCTCTTTGACCGTGCCTTCAGCTCCCCTCTCGACTCTCTTCCCCCTCCTCGCTCCCTCCCTTCCCTCACCCTGACCATTTCTCCGCTCCTCGCTCCCTCCCTTCCCTCCCCTCACCCTGACCATTTCCCCCATCCTCGCTCCCTTCCCTTCCCTCCCCTCACCCTGACCATTTCCCCCCTCCTCGCTCCCTCCCTTCCCTTCCCTCCCCTCACCCTGACCATTTCCCCCCTCCTTGCTCCCTCCCTTCCCTCCCCTCACCCTGACCATTTCCCCCCTGCTCGGGTCATGACCCAACTGTGCAGCGCCTTGGGACGTCCTCCTGACGTGAAAGGCGCTTTATAAATGGAATCTTGTTGTTGTTGTTGTTGTAGATGTAAAATAAATTTTATATAAATGCAAGAAAGTGCTAGTCATTTGGAGTCATTTAAAGATGATTGAAACCCGCTGACTGATGCATCACCTTACTCATAGAGGTGTGCAAAAATTGGGGTTGAAAAAGTACACCCAACTCAATACTTTAGGATGCGTCAAGACAGGAAACAAGATAAACAAGAATTTTCCACAAAGTTGCACAGTGAGACATTTGAATACAAAGTGATCGATCTTACTAGATAAGGTTAGGTGGTACGACACACGGCTCTGTTTGCCTAAGAGTAAATAGAAACCCGGGTGTTAATCGATCAGCGGAGCACTTTCGGGGGTAATAATCCCTAAAAAAAACCTCAATTCATGACTGTTTGTGGGGCATTGTTGCGCACAATTAGCTTCCCACTAAAAATACAGCCAATCCACTTTCCAGTATATTCTGTGAAGCACTTTGAGACGTGTACATCAGTTTACACACACAATACAGGGTGTTTCAAGCAAGTGTCGGCAATGAACAGTGAAAACTATTGAACGATTAAAAACTTGATCCATAAAAGTTAAGATTACATGAGAGAACTGAATGACCATTTGTGAATGTTGCCCAAACAACATGAATCTAAAATATAAATATGACAACCTCTGCTTCGGGACAAACTGTTCACACTAGTGCTTTCGAAACACCCAGTGTATCATCCAAAAAACCCATTCAACACATTTTGCGCCCTAAGAATGAGTGTGTTTAACCTGAAACAATGCACAATTCATTTGCATTTTGACTCCTCTTTGCCAGAATGACTCACTCACTTTGGCACTGAGCCAACTGACACATGAATAATAATGGATGAAAAACTTTGAATTGTACTAATGTCTCTTTTGAAGGTCCACTTATCACCTAGAATCGAAAAATACAATATGATTTATATTTATATAAGCAACTTTAGACATTAGACTGGCTGTATCTTCAGTTTTGAAAAGAAATTTCACAGTTCACAGAGGAGTGCAGGGACCTGAATAAGAGGGTGAGGATCTTGAAATCGATCCTCTCTGGGATAGGGAGTTAGTGCAGTCTGGCAAGGACTGGGGTGATCGGGGAGCTGAGTTTCGTGCGGGTGAGAATGTGGCCAGCAGAGTTCTGAATGAACAACAACAAAAACAAAATGATATTTGTATAGCACCTTTCACATCAGGAGGATGTCCCAAGGTGCTGGACAGTCAGTGTTTTGGACCTGAGCTGGGAGTTAGGGTTGGGTGGAGGGCAGTGGGGGTGAAGGAGGGTGATTAAAGGCACAGTCGAAGAGGAGAGGCTTGAGATGGTTCTTGAAGGAGGCCAGGGAGGGAACGAGGCGGAGGGACTGCAGGATGTAGTTCCAGAGGATGGGAGCAGAGTAGCTGGAGGCTCACCCCACCATATCCTAGGTGTTGGTGGTAGATTAGGTCGACCTCTGTACCTTTATACAACTCTATCCCAATTGTCATTTGCCTTGGGAACTTATCCAACTGTGAAAATAACCAGAACTAACCATGACGTAGAAGTAAACCTTGCATTTAATATTGTGTCTCATCTCATATTCGTTTTACTAAAACGTCTCAAAGTGCTTGACAGGATTTTTTTTACTGAGAATGTTCAAGTGGCGTTGGCAATATAGCATGAGGAGGGGTGGCTGAGAGGGATGTACAGATTGAGCTGCAAAGGTCATAAGATCTTTCGCTTTGTAAATCAACCAAATCAAAAAAAAACAGGGAGCAACCCATCCAGAAGACCAGAAGGTGTGGCAGTTTTAAATTTTAAGAAGGTAAAGATCTCAACAATTTCTCCTGTGTTAGACGAATACGAAAGTGCCACATGCAGCTTAAGAACGCAGATCCAAGCTCTACATTCGCTAAATCTACATGCGTCATGGAAGAGTAATATTTTACTGATTTGACTGAACGGATAATCCTGAGGGTTGGCATTTGGCTAACTCAGACCTCTGGAATGATATGACATACATGATTCATGGAAGCACAGATTGATTTATAGAATCATAGAATGGTTCTGCCCAGAACTTAATTTCTGCCCGACTTTAATATACTTCCCGCAAAAGCATCCTTCGCCTCTTCTTTTCAAAGAATTCATGATCTATGAGTAATAACAATAATTTGGTCACTCAATCCACAACTGTTTGTGGGGCACTACTGTACTGCATTTCACCCACAATATATGCATTCAATTCACTTTACAGTATATTCTGTGAAGCTCTTTGAGACATCTTGAGACGTGATGAGGCACTATATCAAATGCAAGGATTATTATTATTATTATTATTACTATTCGGGATTAGGTAAGAACATTCCGAACAGAAGGAAATTTCGATGCGAAGGTGTCACACGCATGTGTCAGACACCTGACTGGATGACCAAAAATAAACAAGAATGCAACCAGTTGAGCCAAGCAGATAACAATCTCTGCTGCTATCACTTATCCTTAACAATAATAATAATAATCCTTGCATTTGATATAGCGCTTTTCATGTCTTCTCAACGTCTCAAAGCGCTTCACAGAATAGACTGTAAAGTCAATTGACCGTATATAACTTTTGGGCGAAAATATGGCTGAAAGACAAAAATGACATGCAACTCAAGAGATCTTTATTAGTCAACAAGTCCCACAATTCAAGAGTTGGAATTAAATACCATCAAAACCAAATAGAAAATGATATATAAAACCCAAAACGGAATGACTGGGACTTAATTTATAGATTGGGGTAAATACAAAAAATACACAAATTAAACACAGGTAATAGTTTAAAATGACAAAATACTGCAGGTGCTGGAAATCTGAAATAAAGACAAGTCACTGGGAACACACAGCAGGTCAGGCAGAGAGGAAAAAGAGGATTGCGAGAGGAAAAATGAGTTAACGTTTCAGGTCTATGACCTTTTGTCAGAAATTGTAATAGTTCCTAGGTTTAGCTTCTATTGTTTGTATCTGTATACGTTTCTTACAGTGCATCTGAAAAATATTACAATGCTTAGATGTAACATAGCGCCATGCAGCTGAAACACCAGAAAACACTTCACAAGATTTACAGTAAAGCATGTTACTGTGCATCTGTGGCTGAACGCAGGAATTTACACAACAGCAATGTCACACAATCAATTAGGAGGTGAACAGCCAATTTTAACTGTAATATTCTTGGGCAGGACACCAGCAAAAACTCCCTTCTCACGGGTACAGACAAGTCTGTTTAACATCTCGTTTGAAGAACAGCACTTCTGAGAATGCAATAGGCACCCTGGCACCTGGCATGACAATGTTTTTTTTAAATCACTTTGCGCCTGCCCCATTTGATTTTCTTGTAACAAATGTCTTGGTGCCTTAATACTACTACTATTACTACTAATAATACTAAAAAACTTTGCATTCGATATAGCGCCTTATTGTTGTTGAGACATCCCAAAGCGCTTCACAGAATATACTGTAAAATACTGTGTATTTTGTGGGCGAAACACGGCAGCCAATTGCGCACAGCAGTGTCCCACAAACAGTCGTGATTGAGTGACCACATTATTACTACTTATTTATGGAAGTGATTATTTCCCTTGAAAATCGATCTACCAATCGACTAACATGCGGGTTCCTACTTGCAAAGTCATGTGGAGTAAGGAAACTTGCCTCGGGTTTTAAACCTGCCTGGGAACTGGAATCCCTGGCTTTGCTTCACTTAGGGCTGTAAATATTTGTTCTGGAGTACAATCAGGGTCAGAGAGGGTCAAGATAATTTGACCTGTCAGGGCTGCGTCAGCGTTCGCTGCATGATTGATCCAACAGCAAATTACAAAAGACCGCGACGCTCTCAACCTCGCAGGGCGGGGCGCAGGCTGGGTTGAGCCAGTGCATTATTAAAGGCTGAACAGACAGAGTTATTTTGCAGTGTGTGAGAAAGAGTGACATACATACACAAACACACACACACACAGGGACAGTGAGACGTCGAAGCAGCAAAGCAGCAAGAGAAGGAACCAAAAATGTCGCTCGGCTATCTGAAGACGGTCACTGCTGCTGACCTGTTTACCACCCAAGATAATTCCACACTGGCTTTGCCTCCAGACGAGCAGATCAGCACCTTGTCCAGAGTGGCAAGTGAGAGAAGAGTCAACCATCAAGTCCGTTTGGCATTGTTGCAGAAGCTGAAACATGCAGGTGGAACTCTTAAAACTGGTACGAAAACCTCCCTGATGTTAATTCACTTGCCGTGTTCATGTTTCATGCGCTAGCCTGATTTTTTTTAAGAGAAAAAGAAAATTGCAAGGATCCAAGATAATATTTTAATAACTTTGCGGCAATTATTCCGAAGCGTCAGTTCAGCTATTAAAGGCTGTTAAAAGAAAGAAATAATAATGGCAATCCTTGCATTTGATATAGCGCCTTGTCACGTCTTTGAGATGGCTGAAAGCGCTTCACAGAAATATACTCTTAAGTGAATTATATGTTGAATTAAATTATGTGTTTCTATGTTAAAAAAAATCCTTGCATTTGATATAGCGCTTTTCAAGTCTTCCAGACGTCGCAAAGCGCTTCAGAGAATAATAATAATAATCCTTGCATTTGATATAGCGCTTTTCACATCTTCTAGACGTCTCAAAGTGCTTCACAGAATATGCTGTAAAGTGAATTGACTGTAAATTTGTGGGCGAAATCAGAGTTTCTGATCATCAGGGTGTTATTTCATTGAAGGGATGAAGCGAGAGTTGTTTGTTTTAATGTGATACTCAAAGTATTCAATATTAAAAACGTGGAATTATTTGCTTAATATCTGGAGCGTGTGCGATTTTTAAAAAATTACTTCTGGTGGGATGGGATGGTTGGGAAGGGACATATCTAATGCAATACTGTATTTAGTTAAACAAAATTATCTGTAAATTAGAGTTTGTACTTCCTTATGAATAAGGCATAAACTCCGAGTTTAAAAAGTTTGACTTTTTTTTATATCGAAGCTCAGTGTTTTGTATTCTCAGAAAAACCTGTACGGGTTGCCCGACAGTAATACATTGAATTTTAAACACTGTCTATGGGACAAAATGCTGTGCGCAATTGACTGCCGCATTTCATCCACAAAATACGCAGTCAATCCACTTTACAGTATGGACAGGATGTTTAATTCATTTGAGTGGGGGAAAAAATAATTCCATACACCTGAATCTGAAAATAGCAAAACATTTGCTTCAAATTGATAATTCACTTTACAGTATATTTTGTGAATCACTTTGAGACGTCACAATGACGCAATAAGGTGCTATATAAAATGCAAGGATTATTATTATTATGATTATTGGAGGAAATAATAATAATAATAATAATAACATATTCTAGATACTGGCTATAGGCAATTGATGAAGATATTTTGAAATTATTTATAAATCTGTGAATGATATGTCACAAATTCAAAGTGGGGTAAGCAAACTGTTTGTTTAAATCCTATTTATTTATTCTGTGCCTTTTTTTGTAAATAGAAACCAATAGCAGCCACCTGACTGCAATCCATGGAGGCATGCCTAGCCATGCAGCAACGCTTCCACATATGAACACACACATTCGTGGCAATGATCAGCAGCACTGGGTAATTAACAATATGGTTTTATATTGGTTATACAAGTAGATTCCTGTAGCTCAGTGATTAGAGCGCTCCTCTCACAAGCGAGAAGACCTGGGTTCGATTCCCGACAGGGCGAAACAATGGGCAAGTTTCCCTACTCAACACACCTCTGCTTAGCTGTAAGTAGGAACCCGGTTGTTAGTCGATTGACGGATCGCTTTTCTGGAGGAAATGATCCCTTCTCAAACAAAAATGAATAAAAAATAACAATAAATTGGTCACTTGGCAGCCACGTTTCGCCCACAAAACATACAGTCAATTCACTTTACAGTATATTCTGGGAAGCACTTTGAGACGTCTAGAAGATGTGGAATTCTGTAGCTCAGTGCTTAGAGCACTCGCCTCGCAAGCGAGAGACCTGCGTTTGATTCTTGGCAGGGTGAAACTTTGGTGAAAGTTTCCTTACAACAATAAGAACAACAAGATTGCATTTATAGAGCGCCTTTCACGTTGGGAGGACGTCTCAAGGCGCTGGATAGTTAGGTCGGGACCCGAGCAGGGGGGAAATGGTGAGGGGAGGGAAGGGAGGGAGTGAGGAGGGGGTAGAGAGTCGAGAGGGGAGGTGAAGCCACGGTTGAAGAGAAAGGTCTTGAGATCGGCCTTGAAGGAGGAAAGGGAGGAAGCAAGGCGAAGGCACTGGGGGATACTCCTTACTCCACACGCCTGATAATAATCCCTCAAGAAAAAAAAACCAATAATAAATTGGTCAATTCAATCCACGGCTGTTTGTGGGACACTGCTGTCCACAATTGGCTGCCGCGTTTCACCGACAAATATACAGTTAATTCACTTTACAGTATATTCTGTGAAGCGCTTTGAGACGTCTAGAAGACGTGAAAAGCTCTATATCAAATGTAAGGGTTATTATTATTGTATATTATCTACATAAATCTTTGTTGATGGTCAGCATTGCATGGTTTATGGCACAAACGCTAGACAAGGTCATAAATTGTAGGGCAACGGTGTAGTGATTTTATTTTTGGCCGGGTCTCTGACACAAGATAGCTTAACGCTGTCCAAACCGGACTGAGAGTTCCGCATATGCATGACGCTTTAAAGTTAACAATTTGCCATTGTGAAGTTCCCTGGTCACCTAATGTCCAGAAAGTACTAGGCACAGGTTGGCAGGAGCAAATCCTTGGGAATCCCAGAGTGTGGGTTAGGGTTACTACTTGGGTTGAGCAAGTTAAAGCAGAATAACCTGCTGTTATGAGAACTGCCTGGCAAATTGCTAGCTCAACTATTGCCAACCTACCCATCGGCCTTTGGTTTGTAGGGTTAATAGGAGCAAAGTGGGATAGACTTGAAGCCAGAACAAGGCACTGCACTCATTGTTGATTTATTGAATTGAATGGTGTAAAATAGACATCTGTTTGTCGGGAAAGGTTATCTAACAAGGTATGGCATTTTAATGCCTGCAATAAATTTTTAGTTAATTAATTATTTTCTACCCAGGAGCCCAGAATACTTAATAATAATAATAATAATCCTTGCATTTGATATAGCGCTTTTCACGTCAGGAGGACGTCCCAAAGCGCTTCACAGAACACACTGTAAAGTGAATTGACTGTATATTTGTGGGCGAACGCGGCGGCCAATTGCGCACAGCAATGTCTCACAAACAGTCGTAGATTGAAAATGACCAATTTTTTTTTATTATTGTTTTGGGTTTTTTTTGGAAGGATTATTATTAGGCTCTGTGTGGAGTAAGGAAACTTGCCCAAGGTTTCGCCCTCTGCCTGGAATTGAACTCAGGTCTCTCGCTTGCAAAGCGAGTGCTCTAACCACTGAGCTACAGGACTCCCGTCCTCCCGACGTGAAAGGCGCTCTATAAATGGAATCTTGTTGTTGTTGTTGTTGTTGTTGACCAAGCCAGGACACCCGGAAAAACTCCCTTCTCTTTTTGAATAGTGCCATGGGATATTTAATGTCCACCTGAAGAGTCAGACAGTAACTTGGTTTGACATCTCATCCGAAGGACAGCACCTCCAACAATGCAACTCACCCCCAGCACTGCATTGGAGTGTCAGCTTAGACGATAATTATTATTGTGGAGTCTTGTAACTCAATGGTTCGAGCATTCGCCTCGCAAGCGAGAGACCTGGGTTCGATTCCTGGCAGGGCGTAATGTTGGGCAAGTTTCCTTACTCCACACGCCTCTGTTTACCGAGCAGTAAGTAGGAACCCAGTTGTTAGTGGATTGGTGGATCGCTTTTGGTAATAATCCCTCCAAAATATGTTTTGAGCTTAAATAATAATTTGAATAATAATAATAATAATTTTGAGTTTAAATAATAATTTGGCAGCAGCCAATTGAGCACAGCAGTGTCCCACAAACATGACTGTTTTTTGGGGCACTGCTGTGCTAAATTGGCTGCTGCGTTTCGCCCACAAAATGTACAGTTAATTCACTTTATATTATATTTTGTGACGTGCTTTGAGACGTCTCACAGATGTGATAAGGCGCTCTATCAATCGCAAGGATTATTATTATTATATTGTACTTTAAGTGATTAGTTCACGAGTTCAAATTCTAACAGATACAAGTCTTTAGATTTTCATCTCGGAACACTCTGTTTATTGTTCAGCTGTCTAGCATTTATCTAAGGATACAAGCACCAAGCAGGCCCAGGAAATAATAAATTCCATTGTTTTGGCGCAATCCACATCAAAGAACATCTCAAAGTATCCAGTAACAGAAGTGACTTGGGAAGAGAATATCAAAGAGCTTGGGTGTGGCTACTTCAGGTTAGGTCTCTGTGGAACAAAGGGGCAAGACAGTAAAATGAGGCTCAAAGTAAACGGGCGTTGACTGGGAATGAAAGCTGCACACAATTAAACAGACGGGTGGAGTGAGGCCTAAATAATCCTAATACTACATATAATTGTGTCATTTTCATTTACCTAAAAATTCTACAGTCACAGAGTTTCAAAGCCATTTTTAAAGCCAATTCCGCCTGTTTTTGCTGTCCCTAACGAATTGTTCGTGTATACTAAAATTACGTTAACCCTTTACAATGATGATATTTTGTGTGTCAGTCTGGCTCAGAGGTAGCACTCTCGCATCCAAGTCATTGTGGATTGAAGCCCCATTTGGAATCACATAGTCTAATAATAATAATCTTTGAGCTTGATATAGCGCCTTTTCATGTCTTCGAGACCTCTCGAAGCGCTTCACAGAATTGACTAAAGTGAATTAACTGTATATTTTGTGGGTGAAACATGGCAACCAATTGCACACAGCAGTGTCCCACAAACAGTCATGGATTGAGTGACCACATTATTATTGTTATTATTTTTTTAAAAGGAATTACTACCCTGAAAAGGGATCCGCCAATCGACTAACAACCAGGTTCCTACTTACTGCTAGGTAAACAGAGGCGTGTGGAGTAGGGAAACTTGCCCAACATTTCGCCCTGCTGGGAATCGAACTCAGGTCCTCGCTTGTGAGGCGAGTGTTCTACCCACTAAACGACAGGACTCTAAAGGAAGGGACAGTGAGGAACGAAACAAGAGAGGAGAGGAGGGAGGAGAGAGGGAATGAAACGAGGGAGGACAGGAGGAGAGGGGAAACTGAACTTGAACTCCTTGTCTTTCTTGGTGCCTTGCCGGTGTCCTGGGGCTGAACTTTATCTCTTCTTTTGCTTCTTTATTATCATTCTGGGTCATTTAAGCGAAAGGAAAATCATACTGAATAGTCGAATACAAGTGTATATTTTGTATTTGAAGGCATGGGTAGAAATTTCAACTTCTAGACTGACTCAAGCATTTCAGAGTATCCAGAAGTTGGCAAATTCTTAACCACAGCCTCCATTTTAAAGCCACTTTTCTGGAAGTTCTTTTTAAAATGATAACAGGAAATTGCTTCAAAATTAAGAGTCAATTTGAGGAAGATTTACTGTGAAGGGTAGTAACTGTGTACATTATAGGCAAATTAAAATAGGAATAAGAAAATAGAGTGAATCTAGATGCAGGTGGAATTTCTACTCAGTAGTGCGTCCTGCATTATTATTAACAATAATAATTCTTGTGTTTGATGTAATGTCTTTCACTTCGTCTTTCCCAGTATTTCACAGGAGTTACTGTAAAATGTAATGATTGCGTATTTTGCAGGCGAATATCGCAACCAATTTACACACAACACAAACAGCCATGAAGGGAATGAGCAATTTAATCTGGGACATTGTTGATCACTTTACAGTATATCCTGAGAAGCTCGTTGAGAAAACCTCTTGATGCGAAAGGTGCTAAATCAAATGCATGCATTATTATTATTATTAGGCAGTATACTTAGCCAATTGACAACATTTTTCAATTCACCACATTTTCTAATCTAATATGGTTCATGCCCTAATTGAGGAAACAAAAGAAATTTGAAATAGCACTCATTTTGCTCTCTCTTGCGTTTTGTAATGCTTTCAAGCAAAGGAGCTATTGTATCATAAAGAGGCTGTTTCACTGTATCAGTGAAGCAATGCCAAGTTCTTTTAAGATCATACCTTGTGGTGAGCAGTGATGATAATAATAATAACAATAATAATAATCCTTGCATTTGATATAGCGCTTTTCACGTCGGGAGGACGTCCCAAAGCGCTTCACAGAACACACTGTAAAGTGAATTGACCGTATATTTGTGGGCAAAACGCGGCAGCCAATTGCGCACAGCAGTGTCCCACAAACAGTCGTGGATTGAAAATTTATTATTGTTTTTGTTTTTTTGGAGGGATTATTATTAGGCTATGTGCGGAGTAAGGAAACTAAGTGAAAACATCGAAATGAACTCAATCCAACCAGGATCAACTGGTTGATTTTTGAATTTTATAGATATTTCTTAGTTGTCAATATTCAACATACCATCATAACTCTTCAAAGGATAAACAGTGGATCCAAAAAAATCAGTACCTACTAGGATTTGTTTCAACCTATCTGGATATCTTTTCTTTTTAAAAAAAACTGTTCAATTT